TAGCATATGAAAAAAAAATGGTTTAATTCCATTAGTAGCAGAAATTGTGTATTACATGGAAGAGTATTGAAATAGAAAAGTTGTCTCTTAATGCTTGATACTTTATAAATGATATGCTATCTAATATTTTCTAGCTATTCTAATTTTCATTTGTTTATTGGAGGCGGCTCTCTTTATTACTTAATTTCTATTTTAAAGGAACTTTGTCAACTTCACTAAAATGTATTATGCAATATAATATTTTGCTAATGATAAATAACTTGATACTTTCCTGAGTGTTTTTTCCAATGCTTTTTAACCCTCTCATCAATTGGGAGTAACTGTAGAGTTGAGAAATTCTACCCAGAAGTAAAGAAACTTCGGATGTTTTAGATTTGGGGGGGAGGGTTACTTATTAATGTCTTAATATGTCCAAGAACTCTAGAAATTACAAGTGGAATACAGGGGTCACTGCTTTTGTAGGTGAGGTGGGGGTTTTTTTGGAACATAGCCGTAGTCATTCATTTAAGTATTGTTTATGGCTGGCTTTATTGCTGTAACAGAATTGAGTAGTTGAAATAAAGAGTGGCCCACAGACAAAATACTTACTACCTTTAAGAAAATGTTTCCCCACTTTAATGGAAGATGCACTATTTGAATAAACGCATGTTATTTTAATGCATGTAATTTTCTTGGAGCAGTGGCAGTTCTTCTATGCAAGTATGATCTTTGTTTTCTTATCTCTGTAAGTTAATGTTAATTTTAAGTTGAAATAACCTTTTTTCACATTTTACCATTTTTTTCATGTCTTATGTACTGTGATCTAGTTTTGTATACTGACTTAAGAATAACTGAATCTTTAAAAACAACTGATAATGTTACAGTTAAATTACATTCAAATTCATAAACTTTGATAGAATATTTTATTTTGGAGTTCATCCATTTAGTTTTTCTTAGGTGACTTAATCCTTGTAATTTTTTTTTCTTTTCAGAAATTTCTGAATAAATTGGCAGAAGAACGCAGGCAGAAGAAGGAAGCTTAAGATGTGCAAGAAGCTTAACGATTTCAAAGAAAATAATGGTTCTTTGTTTTTAATGTTAACCTTTTTTAAATATAATACTGATAGTTAGAAGAAAACTATTGTACTCTTTTGTTTTAGTGGAAAAATAATAGATGTCTGTTCATGTGTTAAGTGTTACAGCAAAAATACATATACGGTTAAGTTAATGAAGAATTGTTTTTGTTTTATCAGAATGGTAACAGACCGAAGTACTTTGTAGAGACTGACTCGCTACTTAAGACAACTTGCACCACTAAGAAAAAAGATGTAGAATCATTCAGAGAAATGAAATTTAGTTCCAAGCTTCAAAGAAATGTCAAAACTTTTGATTCCATTCAATAAAGAACAAAACCAATTGTATTTTTATTACTTTCATCTGAAACATTCCACATTTTAATCTGAGCCTTGCAGACTTTTCATTTGGAGTTTGAAGCTTTTTGGGTTGCTTTTTATTTGGAGATCTTCATTAATAATGAGATTGGCAATTAAAAAGCAGGTGCAGTTTTCTTTTAATGTCATGCTGTTGTTTAGGTAATAAGAAATACTAAGTAATTGGCTTTAGATTTTTGTAATTTTTTTCCCCTAAGTTCCTGCTAGATTTCGTATTCTAGTAGTCAATGTATTTTCAGTGAAATGTAAAAATATTCCCGTTCTCTTTGAGCAGTATTAATTTCTTGAGATCTTATTGCTTGTCACTTGAATCCTGTAGCTGTCATACATCTGGTATAAGCAACATTTGATTTTTGAAGTGTGTAGACCATCTCTTCATATTTCAAGATGTAATTTTACATTTCTGCATTTTAAAAACAGTTTGGCCATAATCTAGACGCACGCTTCTAATTCATATACCTGCACATGTGACCTTTGTGAACAGAAATTTGCATGTATAATCTGTGTTTACTTGTAACTTTCTGGTAATATACTGCTTATATCTGTGGATTCAAGTTTCTGAAGTGAATACCAATAAAAAAAAAACCTAGGCCATGTTCATTGGTTATACATGTTTGGAATGTTAACCAATATTTTTGTCGGTTGTGGTTTTTATTCACTGTTACACTTTTTTGCATGCTTTAACAAATTATTACATTTTTAATCTAGAGTGTTCTAAAGACTGCTACTAAAGATCTGAGTTTTAAAGTTTTTGGTGCTGGTGGATTTCTTGTTCCTGTTACATAAAAATCGGGCTATTTGTGGTCTTTAAAAACCTTTGGAGGTTAAAACGCTAAGGGTGAAGAAATGGCAAAAGCTCATGTTTAGACCTGTCTAAGTATCAAACAATAAAATTGGAAATAACATGGAATATCAAGAATTAGTCCTACCAGCTTTTCAAAATCTTTCAGGGTTCTTGGTGTAAGGGATTTACCTATTGTCAAAAAACATTTTTAATTTTAAGAAAAACAACTTAATAGGAATTCTCTTTGGAACTCTTAGGTCTGAATGTGTTTAAGGGATATATCAAAATTTCATGGTGTATCTCTGAAAGGCAGTTAACATTTTCTTAATGTGACATGCACAAAAAATCCTCGCCAGTTTATTTCTGCAGTTTAATATTGGCCTTTACTAATTACCCACTTTTGTTTAATTCCAACTGTTAACTAACAGCAAGCAACAGAAAACGTGTGTGCATTGGAATCCCTAATTGTTTCCTATCAGTGATAGCTTTTTTTCGTAGGTCCGACATTGTTGGCTGTAGCAAGCTGTAGAAGAGAAAGTTCAGTATCTTCATTTGATAACATTTAGAAAGCAAAAATTTTCATAAGTAAGCTATTAGTATTTCCCAGATTATGGCAGACCTTTTTTCATAGGAATGTTTTCACTTAAACCTGGTATAAAGTTGAAGAACGTTGTTACCAGTATCATTTTAGCCTTCAGTTTAATCTTAGGTTAATCCTCTGTGAAGGAAACCTTTAAAAACACCTTGAGTATGTATTACTATTTTTTTAAGCCTGTTGCTGGTAAATTTGGGATTTGATCGTGACTGATAAAGGCATGAGTTGGCTAGCTATATTGTAAAAGTTTGATTTGAAATTTCATTAATGAGGAACAGGAATTTCTGGCCACAGAGTACACTGACTTCCTGTAGAGTCTAAATAATAAAATTCTAAGGAAATTTTTTAGGTTATATCCATTCTCTTGAATTCTTCTAAGAGGGATGGCTTTCCTCACCCAGTGATGTGGAACACAAAATGCACCCTGTTAAGTATTAATGGCAGATATTAGAGTTACAGGGGAAGAATACCCTTAATTTTTGTCTAGCTTTGTTCACAGTGGATTTCAGTGGCTTTGAACAGTAAAATGTAGTATTACCTGAATGAAAATTGTGAGAAAAACAGGCTGGTGGTGGGGGTGCCTGGGTGGTACAGTAAGTTAAGCATCTGGCTCTTAGTTTTGGCTCAGGTGTGATCTCAGGGCCATGAGGGATCCCTGCATTGTGCTCAGCATGGAATCTGGTTGGGATTCGCTCTCCCTCTCCCTTTGCCCCCCTCCTCCCCCACCTCTCAGGCTCTCTCTTTCAAATAACCTTAAAAGGAGGCTGATGTAGTGGAATCTGCAGGAATACTGTAGAACAATTTTTTAAAAATCAGAATCGGGTGCCTGGCTGACTCAGTGAAACATGCAAACTCGATCTTGGGATTGTGAGTTTGAGTCCCACGTTGGGTGTAGAGATTACCAAAAAAATTGTTTAAAAAAAATCAGAGCAGTAAAGTGTTTGGTCCAGTCTGTGTGGGTTATTTAACATAATTTGCACTATGGCTAGGAGCAGTTCTGTGTGCTCTTTTATTGGTCTCCATTACAGAATATGGCTTAGTATAGCTAAAAGCTCAAGTATTGAATGGTAATGCATTTAGGATTGGGTATTCCCTGGCAACTCTGAGCTGTTTGCTGAGCTGGAGTTTAAAATGCCCTCTCCGGGGCACCTGGCTGGCTCTGTGGGTAGGGCTTTTAAGAGACAGCACAAGCTGGTGGGGGAAGGGCAGAGGGAGAGCCCAAAGCAGGAGTGGATCCTGAAGCAGGGCTCAGTCTCATAATCCTGTGATCATGACCGGAGCCAACATCGAGAGATGGACACTTACGCGACTGAGCCACCCAGGCGCCCCAAAAATAAGATCTCTCTTAAATAAAATACCCTTTCACTTTGATGCAAGTCCTATGACGGGTGAGGCCAAGATTTCTTAGGGTCAGCATTAGTATACAAACAAAATGATTGTTTTCCTTTAGTGGTTCTCAAATGTTAGCATGCATCAGAATTATCTGGAGGCTTCGTTAAAATGTGGATGGGGTCCACTAGAATTTCCACTTCGCTAGGTTTTGGGTGGGTCTTGATAATTTCCATTTTAAACAAGTTACCAGGTGATGGTGGTATCAAGCGAAGAAGCTACACTTTGAGAATGATAGTTTTACCTGTAGCCAAAGAAGTATTTAGGCTAGGGAGTTGTAATCATGCCTGCTTCAGGTACTCTTGCTTGAGGTACTGCTTTTGTTACTGTTCCAAACCTAGAACTAGGGGAAATGCTAGAAAATAATCACCATTTGAAACCTATGCAAAGAATTAAAAAACACACCAATGGGGAGTGGTTCAGTCAGTTGAGTGTCTGACTCTTGGGTTTCAGCTCAGGTTATGATCTCAGGCCCTGGGGGACTCCCCCCCCCCACCACCGCTCACACTCTTTCAAAACTGAATTTTAAAAACCCACCAATGGAAGATACCCCATTTCAGAGCCCTAGGTACTGCTTTCCCAGATATCTTTTTTTTTTAAGATTTTTTTTTTAATTTTTTTTTTTTTT